AAAGAAGTATATAATTTAATTAAGTCAGCAGGTGGAGTGTTTAATTTTGTAAGACGATAAAATGAAATTTTAGCAGCAATAATTATTTTTTCAAATTTTGATAATAATTAATTTTATTCACAATTTAATAGGATCATCTGCTTTTAGATAGTTCAGATGTAAATGATGTCACCCAAATGAAGACATGTTTAGCAAATGGTGCTAAAATTGATTATTATGACAAGGTTCTAATTAAATCTATTTTGTGTCTAAAGTGTCAGCATAGGTACAGGAGTGCATGCACTGAATAATCCCATGCACTTTTTATACCGTTAATACTTGTCACAGGGTAACAAGCTTGCTTAGTAACACTGTACTCTTATTGCTCTTGCTGTTTATTTTGTGAACCGCCCCAAACTTTCTGGAGTGAGTTAGGTCTACTCTCATTACCCTTGTTATACCCTTGTACCTCTGTTATCCTTGTTGTTACCTTAACTGTACCTTTTGTAAAATCTGGACTTACCATTTAAGAAAATTTGTGGCAAGTGAGCATGGCTTACTTGTAGAAACAAATCAAGGATATTAATTATGTGGTTGTGAATCACTAATGTAAAATAGCACTTGAACAATGCTAGTTAAATGATAATATGTGTAGCTACAGTTGCAGTAACTGCTGGTATAATTACAAGCAGTGCATGTACTCCTTTACCTTGCCATATTTTTATAGTATTATATTTTGCATACTCATAAATTCACAAATATATTGTAACTGTAATACCCAAATGGCCAGGCTAAGCATCTTAGAAATTATAATGATTAACACTGATTTGACAACCTACCATATAGTGAAAATATTTTGCAGTGCAATTCCATAATTACAATTAAATTCACAGTTTTTATAATTGGCTAATTTCATGCAAACTGGCAATTTTAATTTTGGCAATTTAATCACCAATTGCCAATCAAACTTGCCATTTCTTCCTGCTATGAGCCTGAGGCATTGCATTTAAAATATGCTTTATAAATTAGGATGACAGAACTGCTTTACATTATGCTGTAATGAATAACCACTTTGATTCAGTTGTCTTTCTGATTGAAAATGGCTGTAATATTAACTGTCAAGACAGGGTCAGTAGGATGATTTCATAGTACTTATATACTACTTATGATTATTTAATTAACACACGGGTTTATTTACAGCAGTTCATTATGCAGTAATTCATGGATACCATAAAATTCTTGAGGCTCTGATTAGTAATAATGCTGATTTAAATGTTAAAACTGAAGTTAGTATCATTGCTTTAAAAGTAATAAATCAAATTATACATATTTTGTTTCAGCTCCATGAAAAAACTGCACTTCACTATGCAGTTGAAAGTTTAGATATTCAATCTTTTGAGTTACTGATAAATAGCCAGGCAATTATTGTCAATAAAAAAGACTGGGTATAGTTCATTATGACTTGATTATGCTGTTAATTTTTTTGTAGAAAAGTATGACTCCACTCCATTTTGCTGCTCAGCTTGGTTGTGCAGATATGGTCCAAAGGTTATTGGATAGAAATGCTGATATTAACTGCAGGAACATGGTATGCATCATTTGATTGGTTTAATCTACTCTTGGTCCACAAATTTAAACTAACTATATAGTTTGACGTAACACCATTGCACTTTGTATGTGATTCAAAAGATAGCCATAAAGACATCTTACAGCTATTACTGGAAGCTGGAGCTGATCCTCATTTGAAAGAGTTAAGGGTTAGTTCAGATATGTAATGTGTAGTGTAAATTAATTATGACTAATTCTTAGACTATTCTTATAATTTTTCAGTTTTCTGACATTATAATGACATCTTTCTTGTATTAATTATTTCATCAAAATGACGATGTATTTCAAATATCATTTTTATGCATAGCAAAATGTGTTGTTTTTACATAGTTTCAACATACTCCTTTACACAAAGCAGCCATTCGAGGACATTTTGAAATTATTTCAATTTTGTTAACGAAAGCATTGAAAATAAATGACAAATGTCAGGTATGATAACAGAATTAATCAAAAATATGCATTGAAACATATGCACTCAATTCCTTTCATATATACAGCTTGTAATAAAACTTCCATGGAAAAAAAGAAGAATGCATAGTTTTAATTGGGGTATTTTTTATGAGATTATTTGTGAGGTATATGCATAATAATAATGGTGTAGCTATTAAAAGTGTATAATTACAGTATCATGAATCAAAAACTGCTCTGCACCTTGCTGCAGAGAATGGTCATGCCAAAGCTATTGAAGTTTTATTAAATCACAATGCCAGCATTGATATTGCTGAAAGTGAAGTAAACAAAGTGCAATAATTTTCACAAATGAAGCATTTTAATAGACTTCAAAAACTGCTTTACATCTAGCTGCTGAAAATGGGCACAAAAGTGTTGTCAAAGTACTAGTTGAAAGAGGAGCTAATCTACGAAAGAAGGACTATGTAAGTTACTCAAGACATCTTTTCTACTATGATTTTCTTGTTATAGGCAAACAAGATTCCATTTCATTATGCCATTAAGCATCACAAAAAAGATAAAGAACTAATTGAGTTGCTGACTATTGACAATTTCAATTTGGTATGAGCATAGGTAGTAGAGTATAAAGGTAGAGTATATAGTAGAGTATAGGGTGAGACTAGAGGAATTAAAACTGTACATGTACATGTGATTGATAGTATTTGAAATTTCATTGATGTCCCTTAAATATAATTGCTTGAGCAACATAATTGTTGTTATGTAGGATTTATTTGATGAGGATTATGATGAGATTCATGATGCAGGAGTATGTGGCAGGCTTGATATTTTAAAATTATATGATGAAAGTGACATATTCTATTCTCCTGATCAAGTAATTTATTTACCCATTTTTAATAATTCCATATACACTTAAATCAGTTCGGCAGAACTATTTTTCATTATGCTGCTGAGAATGGTGATTTAAATCTTGTACAATATTTGCTGACAGTTAAATGTCAACAACCCAAGGGTTACTGTCATTCTGAAACAAGAGACATTGTCAGTTATTGCATCTCATGCATGTGTAATAAAAACCTTCTTTATAGTTTGGCTATACTCCACTCTATTTTGCAGTCAGTAAAGGCCATTCAGATATAGTTTTATGTATATTACAAAGTGATAAGCAGAAAGTTGACAAGGATAGAAAATATGGTTTGTTGTACTCTTTTATTTTTTCTGGCACTGAGATCATTTTTGCATTAGCAGATTAATATTTGATCCAATTAACTTCCACGAATTGACCAGTTAAGTATTATTTACAATTTTTTAGGATATTATAACCAAACATTACTTCACATTGCAGCTGAAAAAGGTTTTACTAACATTGTGAAATATTTTTTGCATAGCAAATATTACAGTTTCAGTGTTGATGGCAAACTTAATCCACTAGTGAGGAAAATAGTCTAATAACAATAATATTTTAAGCAGTTTTTCAATTAACCTAAAATCTTAAATTTGTACTTTTAGTACGATCGTAATGACAAAACACCATTACACATTGCAGCTGAGAAAGGCTATGAAGAGATTGTTCAATTGCTTTTGGAAAATGGAGCTAGTATTCATATTAAAGATTGTGTATGTAAAATTTCACTTTGAAAATAATCACAATAGCACTACTGATTTTTTAGGTCTCTTACACTCCTTTGCATTATGGTGTTGAAAGTGGAAAGACTAAAATAGTTGAGTTATTACTTCAGAAAGGATTTCCCCTGAGGTTAAGATGGCATGAGGTATGTTATCTTTAGGTAATTATTACATGTAGCTGCAATTGCAGTGTTTATTTTTTACTTTTGGTGGGTTTTTAGTTCACTTGTTAGATTTAGTATTGTAAACTGTTTTATTAATATTATATTCATGCTATCTATTTCACTCCATTTCACCCTCTGCTAGCTAAAGTTCCCTCAAATTACCACTTAAGATCTAACAACAAAGGCAATTTATCTTTAATCACCTGTAAAAATTCTACCTACTAAAATTCATTTTATCCCTCTGCAATCAGCCAATGGAATCATTTACCCTCCTCTCTGAAACTCACTCTCTCCCTCTCGTATCTTAAATATAAAATAGATAACGACCTATGACCACCTCTTTATTTTTTATCACTTATTAATTATCTTACAATTAGCTATGCTATTATTTATTATTTTAAAAAAATATGTTTCTGCACCTCTCACCTGTCAGAATGCTTAAATTTTTTTGAAGTGACAAATAGGGCTTTCTTTTAACATCATATTTATATACAGTACATGTATTGAGACATGTATAATGTTATACATTTATATATATATATATATATATATGTATGTATTAGGAAAGCTGGAATAAAGCCATCACAAATGTTGCATGCAAGGGACACACTGAAGTTATAGAATTTTTAATTCAAACAGGAGAATTGAATATAATGCCCAGTGTAAGTTACACAATCTATGTGAGAATCATAGATGAAAAGCATCTTATATACATGTAACATTTGGATGCTTTAAATTGATAGATTCCTTTGGCCTTCATTAATCAGGTAACAGTCATCCTCACTAGCTGTTGGGTTATCAGCCTATGCAACAGTAAAAATGATGATATTGCTATCACACACCCCAAAAAACAATTTGTCCTTTACTTACATGTAATTATGGTTTTTTAAAGAACATTTAAATTCAGAATATTGGTGCTGACTCCTTTATTTTATAGGCTCAATGCACTGCTCCTCTCCATCATGCAATCATATACTGTCAAAAAGAAATGATCAGTCTACTTCTATCTTATATTGATATCTCAGCATCACTGGTACAATGATTTTATTAGCAAATTGCAATTTATTGTAATATAGAAATTTGGACCTATGCATGTTGCTGCTGAACATGGATTGATAGACATTGCAGAGTTGCTGAGAAAACATGGAATAAGTGCTGATGATGGAGACAATGTAAGAAATTTTTTTACAAATATTTGACATTTTATATATAGGATGGTTTACGACCACTTCATTATGCATGCCGAGCAAGCCAGGTAGAAATGGTTGATTATTTGTTAAGAACTGGTGAAGTAAGGGATCCTATGAAAGTCTCAAAAGAAGGACTTTCCCCTCTTGATGTGATAGCACCAGAGTCAACTGCTCGCACGAAATTACTTCAACTCTTTCGTCCTTATGTTGACAGTCACACAGATTACCCTATTGAAACTTATGCTAAAGTATTTATGTGTGGCTACTCTACTGCTGGTAAGAGCTCTCTCAGTCAAGCTCTCGTTGATCGCTCCAAGAAGCCCCTCGGTTATAAGTTTAGTCCATTGGAAAAGGTTAAAGATGTGACACCATTTACTGTAGGCATTGATTTACACACTATCAGCAGTCCTGAGATTGGAAACATTGTATTATATGATTTTGCTGGCCACACAGAGTTTTATAGTAGTCATGCTGGCATACTTGAGAATCTGATGCTACACTCACCTGGAGTATTTGTTATAATAGCTGATCTTACAAAGCCACGTAGCAAAGTGCAAAGCGAATTGTTCTATTGGCTCAACTTTATTGAAAATGCATGTGCTAAGCTACCTAAACCTTCTCAAGTTATATTGGTGGGTAGTCGTGCAGACAGTTTTTCCAAGCATGGGTTAGAATTCAAAGCTGACATGAATGATTTAGTAGAAGAGGCTGTTGTGAAGCAAATTTTCAAAGGATATTGTGCTCTAGAATGTCATAAACCAGGTGGTATTGGCATGAATGATTTTGTATCAATTCTTGCCACAAGCTGTAAAGAAGTTGTCAATCGATCTGATGGTATCAGCTACTACTGTCACCTCCTCTATTCCCTTCTCAAGGATCTGAATGAGATTGCAATCACATTTGAAAATCTTTCAATTAAAATTAAAAAGAATCCTGAAGTTACTATCAGTGATGATCCAGCATTTCTTTCTAATACTCTATTAACCCTCAGTGACAAAGGTCTCATCTTGTATCTGAAATCAAATGATCCATCTACTAGTTGGATAGTTGTCGACAGGGTCAAGCTCCTTCATGAAGTAGTGGGTGTTTTATTTGCCCCTGCCAGTATTGAGCGAGTTCACAGAGATATTGCCAGCAACATTGGCATTGTTAAATTTTCTCAGCTGAAAAGTATCTTTAAATCTCAAAATTTTGATGCACTTATGTTGAAAGGCTTTTTGACAGCACTAGAATTTTGTCAAGTTATCGATTCTGATATTTTGGATTCATCTTATGATTACTCTGAAGAGCTTCTTTTCTTTCCAGCTTTGATTGCCGAGAAACAACCAGCAGAAATGAAGAAGGCTCCATCAAGGGGCTGGTACCTAAAGTGTACTAATCCTCATAAATTTTTCACCGTTCGCTTTCTTCATGTATTAATCCTTCGCCTAGCTTTGTTTCATGTTAGCAGTGGAAAGAAGTCTGAAGAGTTAGATCGTCGCTGTACTGTATGGAAAGATGGCATTAATTGGATAAGTCACAACATAGAGGTACTAGTCCAAGTATCCTTAGATGATCGTTGCATTACAGTTCTCATATCTGACAAAGATAACCTAATTGCACAAAAAATGTTTGCTTCAGTAATATCTGAAATACATTCATTGATGAATAGACTAAGTCCATGTGCAACAAAGGAATATATCATCAATCCTTCTCAGTTAGAAGAAGTTAGCAAATTAAAAAAGGAAGATGTGTCTCTCTTTCTACTTCAAAATGTAGCTCAGGCTATGATTCTACGGCAACAAGTGTCTGATGAGGGTGGACAATACGATCGTTCAATTGATATCATTTTGGACAGTTTTGAGCCTTATTTATTCATTCCACCATTCATAACACAGGAGCTATTTAATGCTGAGCTTTCCAACAATAAAATTCACCAATCACGTTTGGACTGCTTACTCCTAGTATGTCCTGATATGATGAAAGGAACTGCTTTTAACTCTTATAAAGAAGTAAGGGATCACATTCAATCTTTTAGCATCTTTACGGGTCACAATGTGGTGGTAAGTTGTATTTTTACTCAGGCATTTAAAATTGAGGATCTTTCATAGAATTTAGCTTTGTCTTGTGATTCTGCAACATCCAAAGAAAAGAAGCAGTTGGATCATTTACTAACAAAACCACTTTTGTTTGAATTTAAAGGTTAGTATAACAGATGCATCATTTGTATTGTTTTCATTAAAATAGAGAGAAAACCATTAAAACAGGAGATGTTAAAGTTATTATCTGGAGAAGTATCTAGTGATTGGTCTATATTTGGTACTTATCTCAATTTGCCAAGTGACTTTATAAAAAATTTGAGGGAATCAAATGCATCTAGTGACCAAAAGTTTGCACAAGTGGTTGAAACATGGTTATCGAAGTCTAATATTCATTGCACTTGGAATAAAGTAATCGAGACTCTTGAAGATATGAATCATGGGAAAGCTATATATAATGTTAAAGTATTTTTAGGAGAGAATGCAGCAAAAAGTATGACTTTTTATCATTTACCATCTGACTGTCACTTGTAATATAGGTCCTAGTTGTACTGAAACTGGTGATGAATTACCAGATGAAACTGATAGAGCAGCATCTCCTGAGACATTAAGCAGTGAGCAATTTTGTTTATATTGTACACTTATATAATTACAATGTTGCTTTATAGCTTCTATTAATACAGAAAGTGTTACCAATGTACCACTTGTAGCTTTGACTAGCACACCAATGCCCAGCACCTTCAAAGCAGAATCAATTTGTACTGATGAACCAAGTATGCCTTTTCCTAATGACATGTCTGTTATTAATCCTGGAACTTCTGGAAGTAATACAAGTACTCCTCATTCATCTCCACAAAAAGGAATGACAAGTATGTGTATTAAAATATACTAAACTAAAATGATTGTGTCATCATACACACACATTTAGCCTCTGTTGACATTGATTCATCATGCAAAGATAATACTTCTGGCATTGGTAAGAACATTGTCATTGCTAACAAATTATTATAACAAATTAATTACTATTATAATAGGAACAGTTTCTTATTCTCAAGCTCCTTCAATTGCTAACAATACTTCTGCAGCACATGATTCCTGTAAGAATTGACTGTATTCTAATTTGCTATATAAACCATATATTCATTGTTATAGGTTCACTGCAGCAACAGCATATCTATACCATGATAATAGTGTCTATACATGTATTTACTTTTCTTAATGGTTTGTTTGCAAATCAATATTCATCTATGTCATCTAATTCTGGCAAAATAGCAGGTAATTAGCGGTATAGCTGGTTTATTTCATGTGGAATTAGTGCAGGCTCATATCCACTAAAATTAATTCCACTAAATTTTATAAACATCAATTAAGTATTTTTTGAAAATTGCAAGCCACAAAAATTTCTAATAAAAATTTAAACAACAAAGAATTTGAGGCCGTGAAATGAAGCAGCTATATGGTATTAGAAAATTAGTTCTTACCATCAGCAATAATGATACTGTTTTGAACTGTCATTTTCTTACTAGATGATGTTTTAATGAAGTGTTCATCACACCTGGATCATTTGCCAAAACTTGCTGGATATTTAAGAATACCTGACAGGTGTTTACAACAGATTCAGAATGACTTCACAGACCCAGACATACAAGGATATTGTCTCTTGAAAAAGTGGAAAGAGCTCTATCCTAATTCATCGCTCGCTGACCTTATCAAAGTATTTCAATATTTAGGCCTTAATGAAGCTGTTAAAGTACTTGAAGAAAATTAATTAATCAATTCTATTTGCCATGTCATTATTTTTGTAGTCTGTGACACATGAAGCTACTTGTTATTTTTATATTAAAAAATTATTTTGAATTGACATATACATGTATACGATAAGCCAATCAGTGATTGTTTTATTATAAATAAACTATGACAAATAAGGATGATAAACATAATACAGCAGAATAACACATAATTTAGATTAGGAAAAGAAGGGGGATATGTATGCAATGTAACTTAAATATGACAATACAAAGAAACCCCAAGCAAATAACCAGAGCAGAGCAATGATGTCCAATAATAGAGCAGCTTGACCAAACCTCTTAGCCTGTAAATAATACTGTACACCTTTTGCTCTATGCATCCAAGACTACAAAAATATAATTATTTTTATCAAAATGGACTTCACTACTATTATTATGGTGAGAGTATTTGACAAATTGTATCTCTTGAAAATCACCCACTATTATGCCACTCAGTATAATCATGAAGCTGGTAAAGCATTTGGCGTTTTGATAGCCATTCACCAAAATAAAAATATGCCATTCTGAGCCATTATGCCACATGTTCATTGCTCAATGGTGTGTCGCCACAAAGTGAAATTTAGTAATTCACCAAAATTTACTCCCTCCTAAATCACTAGCTATACGGTACTACACGTAGCTGTGTGTGTGCTTACCAGTATTGAACAGATTATGGCAGCAACAGTGAAGAAGATTGTAGAGAAGCTCATAATAGGACAGACAATAGCAATAACTAGTGTAGGAATGAAGTAATCGTTAGGAACAAATTCAGACTGTAAGTGAACAACAGGAGGAGCCATAGCGTACTGCATCATACCAGGCTGGTATGGAGCCATCGAGGGAACCATCTACACAAAAAATGCAATCGTGTTTAGATCTCACTCAGTGCTATTTGAAAGTCATACTTGAACAGGAACTGGTTGTACCATCATCGGGACATTCTTGGCTTGTTGTGGATGAACGCCTGACATTCTTCTTAGTCTTAAACGTCTTTATGAGTACAAGAGAACCTCAGAGAGGAGAAGATGCAAAGCAAATGCCTAGCTAAGGTAAATTACTAATTAATTTTTTGTTTATTATGAGTCATTATTACGTCATTCCTCAGCTTACTATTTATTTTAACCCTTTTCTCACTCAACACGTGTTATTGTGTTGACAAGTGAGTGACACACAACTTGGCACAGAAATGTCTTGGAAGCCTTGGACTTTAGCTGCTGCCCGTTTGAAAATGGTAAAAAGTAAAGATTTCAAATTTCCTGAACCTATTTCTCGATGGAACATTGTGAAAGGAGACCTGGTAAGTTTTTTATATTCAACATACAACACTGATAAATAATATTATTAATTCACTGCAGGTACAGGTACTGTGTGGTAAAGACAAAGGAAGAAATGGAAAAGTTGTTGCAGTTGCTCGGAGGACAAATCGTGTATTTGTTGGAGGTCTTAATACTGTATGTTTTATAAATCAATGTCTTTATTTATATTGGGTGTGGTTTGTAGCATATAAGAGTAATGGTAGGTGAAACAGCAAGAACAAGGATAGCTAGTGAAGCACCTTTACACGTTTCCAATGTAGCTCTAGTTGATCCTGAAGATGGGTATGCTATTGTATAATGTATTTTGTAATTAGAATTAATTATTGTAAATTTTAATACATGTACATGTAATGAGACAAATAACTGCTGATTGTCCAGGGCCATCTGGACTATATTTTCACCGAAATTCAATTCTTGAGTGCCAATAATCTGATTGATATTATTTGAAACTCACTGCATAGCATAACATTAGTACCATAGACAAACTTAGAGTTTTCACCAGTCACCAGTATTACTTCAGTTGAAAATTTGAAATGTAACTTTTAGCATTATAATTCAAGATTTTTGTAGCTTGCAGTAAATATTAACAGTGTACATGTGTTGTGTTTTGTATGTGAAAATCTGTAAAAAGATCTTTATTTTGCTTTTAGTAAACCTTGTAGAATTAGATATCAATACACTGAAGATGGAGAGAAAGTCAGAGTGTCAAAAAGAAGTGGACGGATCATACCAAAACCTGTTGAAGTTTTGGAAAGGAGAGACTTTAAATCGAGAGGCGGATATGTTGGTATGTTAATTATATTAACTTATTAAGTTAGCTATATAGCTACATGTACATGTACTTTGTACTATGTTTAGCGTTTTAAGCATGCACTCATTGCACTGTGTATATTGTGTGTATGTTGCCATGTTGTGTAGCATACCTTAAGCCTACTATAATTTGCGTCTACTAATTTTAGCAAAATCAGCAAAAGTCATGTTTAGCGTTACTAATTTTAGTATTTTTAACCAAAATTAATTAACTATAAATAATAACCATTGTAATGAATAATAATTATTTTGGCATCTATTTAATTTAGCAGTTTAAAGCTCTCTCGCTAATATAGCGAAATTTAGTAGATGCTAAAAATAGTAGGCTTAAGGCACATTAATCAGGGTTCTACCTAGGAAAAAAAATAGGGGTAGTTAGAGACCAATATTGTTCCTTTTGAATTTATATACACCATACTAGTAGACTACAATATCATGCTTTATGTATGGTTATTAGTATTAATTGGATGGTTGGTCTAACTGATGAACTGGTTGGTTCACTTGTTGAGGTGGTTGTCCTGACCACCCCCAACCACCATAGGCAGAACTATGATTAATGCAGGGTTTCATACAAGATTTTAGCATAGTGCTCATGCAGCCTATTAACAGTGGATTGTCAAGTTGCTCAAAAATTAGGCCAATTAAGACCATGTACTATTATAGCCCAGGTTATTTTGAGGAAAATGCAAGTAGATAATTCTTCATTTTTATAATTTTTTGATGCATATACATGTTTTTATGTTTTGTAGAAATTTGAGCAGATTTCGATTGAATTAGAATTTTTGAAGTGTTTAAAATTGGGCCAACAACCAAAGGCTGTAGCCTTTGGCTTTGGCCAAATTCCATCCAAAATGGCTCTGAAAGAATTCTCCATTTTTATACTTTTTCTGATACATATGCCTATTTTTGTGTTGTGCAAAAAATTTGAGCTGATTCTGATCAACTTTGGATTTTTTATAAATTTTTTTAAGTTGCTCAAAAACTGGGCCAATGACCAAAGGCTTATGGCATTTGGTTTTTGGCCAAATTTTGTCAAAAATTGCTCCGAAAGAATTCTTCATTTTTATAATTTTTTTCTAAAACATATACATGTTTTTATGTTGTGCAGAAAGTTTTGGCTGATTCCAATCAAAGTTGGATTTTTTATGAATTTTTAAAATTTGCTTAAAAATCGGGCTTTGACTAAATATTTTGTCAAAAATTGCTCTTAATAAATTCTCCATTGTAATAATTTTTTGATACATATACATGTTGTTCTTATGCTGTGCAGAAAGTTTAAACTGATTCAGATCAATTTGTATTTTTTAAAATTTTTCAAAAATCGGACCAATGACCAAAGGCTACCGTACAAGATGATTTATTGGCGATTGGTGGTTTATGAAGAAATTGCTAATATAATATCTACCATTTTGTTTCAATCTGAGCATGCTCAATGGCACGTGGCACAAAATTGCCAATATAAAATTTGCCAATATCTTTTTGCAGGCAAATTCACCAAAAATTACTCTCGCCAATAAATCATCTTGTACGGTATAAGGCTTTGGATAGCCTTTGATCTTTGGCCAAATTTTGTCAATAATATCCCTGAGAGAGTTGAAATTTTTTCTGATGCATATGTACATGTTCTTATATAGTGTAGAAAGTTGAGCTGATTTTGTTTTCATGAATTTTAAAGTGTCATCTACGATGCGTTAGTGCTTGTCAGCTCATGAAGCATATGCTACATTGTACTAAGTTCACTTAGTACTGTACTAACAGGTTATTAAGCGCCCTTCGTTGTTAAGCGCCTAGTTCTTATTAGGCGCCTAGCTCAATGTAGCTCTTAGCATGGGTTTGTTAAGTGCAGTACAAAACAGTAGGAGTTCAAGCAGTAGGAGTTACAGCAGTAAGAGTCCAGACACTTTTTATAAGCGTTGTGGCCACGAACCAGACTGTCAAATGATCATTCTTCACCACCTGCCATTGTAAAGCCAGTAAAGTGATTAATTAATTATTATTGTAAACCACACCTACTGTATTTTATTAAGCACTGAGTCATTATTAAGCGCCTGTTTTTCTGTCATTTTCTGCATAAGCGCCTATGCTTAATAACCCGTTAGTACGGTATTCTTTGTGTGAAATCCTCATTTTGCTACATCAAATTATATCGATTTTCCTCCAGATTAAATTGTGAAATAAATCATTGAGTTTATAATAAATTTGTTTTCAATTATGTACTAGTATCATGTAACCTTTCCTCATTGCTGAGACTGAGGGAGGTACTGTACCAGATAGATAGATACATGTACTTGAGCTTGAGCAAACTACCGTATAGCGGGAAATTTTGGAGGGAATTAAATTTGGTGAATTTGGCGTTTTGATAGCCATTCGCCAAAATAAAATCCGCCATTTTGAGCTTTTATATGCATGCTCAATGGCACGTGGCCACTAATTCGCCAAATTAAAATCTGCCAATAACCAAAATTTAGCAATTCGCCAAATTTTACTCCCTCCAAAATTTCCCGCTATACGGTATATAATTTTTCCAATTTACAATTGTTTTTATTTGTCTATATTTTTTGTAGAAGGAAGCAAGGACACAACTAGTGAGAATGTGACAGCACAAACATACATCCCGTCACTGAAGACTTTTGAAGAAGAAATTAACTCTAAATCATGAATAATTTTATTAAATTAAATTAATTATACTTAAAATTAATAATTGTGTTTCACGTGTACTGTACACGTGGTTACACAAGATGTCATGGCTACTTGGAAGATTCAATCAAACTGGAGAAGGTCCTTCTCCTCCAGGAGCGGCAGGTCCGCCAGGAGATGGTGGTGGAGCGAAGACACCTGGTAATGGAGACAGAAAAGGAGGAAATGACAAAAACACGGTATGAAGATTATATATAATTGAGTCATGAAGTATTAATGTAACAGGAAAAGGGAAAGAAATGGACTGGGTTTGATCCCACTGGACTCGAGAGGGCAGCAAAAGCAGCTAGAGAGCTGGATCACTCTTGTGAGACTTAATAATTATGTATTTAAATTCTAAATGTTTTTGATTTTATTTTTTTTAATTTAGTACATGCCACCGAAGCATTAGAAATGGCTCGTCTTCAAGAACAAACGGAACAACTTAAGCATCAGGAAAAAATTAAAGTAAATAAATTGGGTGTTTGTGAGGCAATTGCTGATATATACTGTCTTCTACTTTTAGCATTAAATTAAGCATTAAATTGCCTCAAAGATACTAGTCTGGGCATAGTAAAGGAATTTGTCCTTACTACGCAGATGCCTACTTAACTTTTGTTTTGATTGAAAACTTTTCATTGCCCTAAAGCTAATTCATTGATGCATCTACATGTACGTCCATTTACAATCATTGCAACTCTAAAGATTTCGGTGATACAAGATGTCACACAGTTTAAAGCAAATCTGCAGAATATATTTTTAGGCAAACTCATGAAATTTATAGCCCTTGAAAATTTTGCTCTGTACGGTAGTTTTGTCTACATGTACATGTAAGTGGCTTGTTTTAACTAATCTTTTGGTTTTAGCTTTATACATACATGTACATGTACAAAGCATACTGCTTTGCTTGTTATAAGTAACATTTATTAAATGTTCTGCTTTCATCTATTTTACTATAATTTTTAATTTATAGGAATATGAAGCAGCAATCAAACAGATGGAAGCTGATAAAGCTAGAATTGAGCATGAGGAAAGGAGAAAGACACTAGCAGCAGAAACTGAGCAACATCAAAAGGTACACAGTGACGAGCATATTTAAGCTTTGAGAGTTGGTTAGGCACTAAGAAAAAATATTTTTAATAATCTTTGTCATATATTTATTTGTAACAATTTTAGCGAGGGATTTTAAGACTGCTTACAGTATGACGCTGGGCTAGCGTACCATCAATTTTTAATTAAAAGTCTGGGTGATTTGACCTCTTGCCTCATTCGTTATGCTAGAATAGAACCTAAGCCTCACTTTTGAACAACTTAGATGTAATAATTTCAGGCTCTTTATTGTAAATGAGCCTACACTAATTACCAATTGATATTGAAATATTATACCGTATACACCATATATTTTGTGGGTATAAAATTTCACGATTTGTCTGCATTTTGTATTCGTGAATAAAAATTTTGCGATTTTAATGTAATTATCACACCTACTATACAATCAGCTCGCTATTTTGCAGATTTTGATTTTGCGAATTTTTCAAAATGCAAAAATCGTGAAATTTAATCACCACAAAACATATAGCGTATATGATATCTAAAGTTAAGCATCAAATTACATGCAATTCAAAATGCTAAAAATAGTACAATACACACAATTGATAGCACACAAGTATGCCAATTTCTTTTGCTTCATTATCTACATGTACATGTACATGTATATGAGTTTTTATTGTCTTTAATTCTTTTCATTGGTAATTGATAGAGAGCTCAGTACCAAGATCAGTTAGCAAGAAGGAGGTATGATGATCAACTTCGCCCAACTAGGTTTGACTGGTTTATTACTAGAACAGAGTCAATTGTTTTACTTTATAGCGTCGGACGCAAGAAGAGAATTTAAAGAAACAAGAGGAATCCGTACAAAAACAAGAACAAATGAGAAGATGTGAGATATCAATTATTACTATTATTACTGTATAGCTAGAAAATTTGGCAGTCTAAAACTTTGGCTGTTTTGCATCAAAATTGCCTAAATATAATATTGGCATTCCCTTAATTCGGTGATTTACTATCTTGTCTTTTATTAAGCACTCTCAGCTCTTCTTGAAGCTGTTCCTTGCCCACAGTCTTGACTGAAATACATACATGTACTTCAAAAGTGGCCAATTTGGCATTTTTAGTATCATGTGTTTATGACGGGATTCGCCCATCATTGCAATTATTATTGACGGTTATAATATTGGCGGTTTTACTTTGAACCGCCAATCTCTGCCATATTTAATTCTCCACCAAATTTTCCAGCTATACAGTATTATCATAATTAATTATAATGTCTGTAGCTACCATTGAGTATGAAGCTAATTTAAGACACAAGAATGAAATGCTTCGTTTAGAAGCTGAACTAAAGGGAAAGTAAGTTACTGTATTACATTTACATGTACATATAGCTGGTAATTTGGGAAGGGTAAAATTTTGGTGAATTGCTAAATTTTAGTTTTTTAATTTGGCGATTTTTGTGGCCATGTGCCATTGATCATGCTCATAATTGTGTAAAATATGAGTTTTATTTTGGTGAATGCACAAAATTTGCCTATAATTACCAGCTATATAATATGTACATGAGAGAACTGTTGTTAATTATTTTTTCTTTTATAATGAATTAGAGCTAAGATTGAGAGAGAGAATAGAGACCTCAATTTAGAAAAGATTCGTGTTAAGGCAGCAGAAAACAGAGTCACTGTATTGGAGAGTGTCAAGTAAGATATCATTACTATTTCCTGTCCCTGACATCTCTCTCTTTTCATTTTACATTTTTATTTTAATATTTATTCTCTCAGAACTGCAGGTGCTATTATTGGTGATGGGGTATCAAATTTTATCACAAATTGGGACAAAATGACTGCCACTGTGAGCCTTAAGCCCTTGATCCATACACCAGGCAACGTGTTGCTAGCAACATCTGTAGGTACTTTGATATTTTGAGTGAAAATTGATGAACTGATTGCTATTTTTAGCAACATATTTATTACATGATCAAAGTAACCACAAATGTTGCTAGCAACATGTTGCCTAGTGTATGGAAGCTTGAAAATAGTATAAATCAAATCTCATCTCTCTTCTTATTGTTGATAGGCTGCTGGTATAACATTAATAGCTATTGGAGTATATGCTGCTAGGACTGGTACTGCAGTTGCTGGTCGATTTATTGAAGCACGTCTTGGGAAACCGTCTCTAGTGAGAGAAACGTCACGTCTATCATTATTACAGTCTTTAAGACACCCTCTGCAGGTTAGGAGAGAGAGAGGGGGGAAGAGAGGGAGGGAGGGAGAGAGAGAGAAAAAGAGGGAGGGAGGGAGAGAGAAAAAGAGGGAGGGAGGGAGAGAGAAAAAGAGGGAGGGAGGGAGACGAGTTTTTGTGTGTCTTATATTTTTAGGCTTTTGGTAGATTATTCACAAAGCCAAGTGATCCTCTACAAGGAATAATATTCAATGTAAGACAGTTTTTTGTACTATAATGCCAAACTGGTATCTTTATTGTAGCCTAGACTAGAGGAGAGAGTTAGGAGTTTAGCTAAAGCAACTATCAATACAAAGCATAATGGAGGAGTGTACAGGAATGTACTAATGTATGGGCCACCTGGCACTGGTAAAACAATGTTTGCTAAGGTACATACATACATGTATATACAGTACAGGCTCTTTTTTATTATTTTTTGTGTGTGATAGAGTTTAGCACGTCATTC